CCTGATATCTGACTTGTGTCCATTTATCCTCTTGCGTAGTGACTGTCCAGTTTGGCCAATGTACATAGCATAGTACATACCATCAGCATAGGAAATCCACCTCCCCAAGAGGCAGTAGCTATGCTGATGGGAGAATTCTCCTGTTGACTTAGCGCTGTCTACACCAGAGGTTAGGTCGATTGAACTGCGTCGCTCAGGGGTGTGGATTTTTCACACCCAGGAGTGACGTAGTTATACCTACCTGATTTCCAGGTATAGACCTGGCCTAAGGATAAACAACTCAAGAGAGGTATGACCCCCTGGAGGGGTTTCCATATACTGGCTCAATCTGGGCTTTCCAGAGACTGGGGTACAAAGAAAAGGGCTTTGGGTATGAAAGGATGACCTGGAACTGACACTAGGCCTTCTTTCTGATCCAGCGATTGGACAGGACCTTATGTCCCAGGGGCCTCAACTCCGGAGGAGGGATTGGAAAGACTTTGGCCTACTAGAGTGAGACTGATGGGTGATTCCTGGTGTGTTCAGCATGTGTTTAAATCTGTTTATCGGTTTTATATGTTTTCTCTGTAACGCTTTTACCTTAAGAATAAATGTGCCTGCTTAGAAAGAGCTATGTGGTTATTTGTAACTGCTGGCAATAGACTGTTCATAACCCTCAGAGAGACAGAGCAAAGCCCAAGGACTGGGCTTTCGGCAGACTGGCTTGCTGGGGATATCACAGTGTGAGGCAGGGACCAGTGCAGCTGTAAAAAAAAAAAAAAGTCAGAAGGGAGAGAGAGATGCGGGTCTCTACCCAACAGAGGCGATGGCTGGGAGCTGGAAAACTTAAGTGGGTGACCTTGAGAAACCATGGAGAGGGAATACAGATCCAGTTACCCTGTAACTGTAACAGGCCCTACAGTCAAGCTCCTTCTCCTGGGTTGTAGAGGGGCATCTTGGCCAGTGCCAGGCAGAGAAGAAGCTGTTGTGAGTGGGATCCTGAGAGGAAGCAGAAAGGCAGGGCTTCTTGGGCACAGAGCCCACTGGAGGGGCAGACTTGGGGATTTCAAAGCAAGGTAACTACCAGCTGTTGTTAGTGTCTACTGCATTCAGGGAAACAGGACTTTGTATGCATTCTTTGTGAATAGATGAGATTACACCTAGGAATAGACCTACCTCATCTCACTGATTTCTCCTACTAATGGAAGCAGCTCTGCAAGACCCCAGGTAGTAGCTAATTGCTTGGGCCAGAGGGGCAATGCTACACTCAAGATTGTGAAGTACTCAGATACCATGGTAATGGGGAGCATCTAATTACCTAAGATAGGTATTGCCCTGGGTAAACATTAACCCTTGGCTCTAGGGTGAGAGAGGTAATAGGAGTGGCACCCACACTGCAACTGACTATAACCAGCCAATAGTGGAGGAGAGTTAAACACTTGTGGGTTTATGAGCTTATCTTACATGCCACTTTCAAGCTGTTCCTATCTGCCCACAGGCACCTAACTTTTGCTGATATCCTTATCAGATTTTTATTGGCCTTTCCAGTAAAGGGATGCAACAGGCCCTAATCACTACCAGGAAAGGAGGCAGATTTAGTTAATCATTGATTGGCACCAGCCGTGTCTAGGGAGCTCTTCTCCCTCTCACGGCCGGCCGGCTCCAGCTTTTGTGCCACCCCAAGCAGCGAAGCAGGAAAAAAAAGGTAAAGCCAATCGGCGTCACTTCGGTGGCAGCTCAATCGCGCCACTTCATTCTTTGGTGGCAATTCGGTGGCGAGTCCTTCGCTCCCTCTCTTCCTCTTTGGCAGCACTTCAGCAGCAGCTCAAAGAGGAAGAGAGGGACTGAGGGACCCACTGCCGAATTTCGCCAAAGACCCGGACATTTCGCCCCTTTCCATTGGCCGCCCCACGCACCTGCTTCCTTTGCTGGTGCCTGGAGCCGGCCCTGCTTCCTCTACA